AAAAATATATATATATATATATATATATATATATAGAGAGAGAGAGAGAGAGAGAGATAATTGTGTTAAACTCCCTGTCAAGCACCAAAAGTCTATGCAAAATTGAAACTGATGGGTCCAACTTCAACACGATTCAGCTAGATACAAAATCCCTTCTTATTGAAGTTAAATATATTGACAATCATAGCATGAGAAATAAGAAAAATCCGATTAAGAAAGGTGGTAATGACACCTATAGTTGAGCTTGTACATGTAAAAGTTAGGGAAGGGTTAAGTGACTTCATTTTTCATTCTTGTGACACTACTTTACCAATACAATTTCTATATATTTATCTCCTAATATAGTTCCTAATCTACCAGTCAACTTAGGGATGTGTAGCTTTAAATTTCCCAACTAAAAAGATGATTCTGATTCCTAGCTTTCACCATGAAAATTACAAGTATATAACAAGATTTTATTAGCCAAGTGACAAAAGGTGACAATGATGGTAGTTTAGGAAGCATGTTTATTTAGCTTTTCAGGAGTTTGGAACCATGAACTCATGGCAAAGAACATTTTTTAATATTGGAAAAGGTAATTACTGAAGTACTGTTTTCATTACAGGTACTAAATTCTCCTAGTTAATTCTTGACAAGTAGGTTAATGACTGGACTTTTATTACTATTTTTATCCAACTAAATTCAAATAAATTACTAAATTAGTATAAACAAACATATGAATTGGTCTTTACTAGGAAATGAAGCTTAATTTGTAGTTTCAAAATACATGAACTTAGCCAATACATGTGCACTAGCAAAATCTAAATAGATTCAATTTAGTGTATGTGACAAATCTGTATATCAAATGACCAAAATGTTTTCATGATACTCACAGAAGCAAGTTCAAGTGAAGAGCAGTGTATGTTGTTTCCCTGTTTTATGACCTGATATTCAATCATAACACAGGAAATCATCAAAAGAATTTATCCAAGGATATGTTAAAGTAAATATATATTCTGAAGAACCTGGATGAACTTGCTAGGAAGTTTTCCCTTTATGTCCTTCTGTGGAATACTAAAGTAAAAGCCTTGCCTATTGTTGAATGGAATTTTCAAATTTGGCAGATTAAAATCCTCACGATACTTATTTGCCAGGTTGTATATTGCTGTGAATGAGGTGTTGATCAGATAATTATAAATAAAATATTGAGAGATCAACCAGAAAACATTATATGGCAGAAAAACCTTCACTAGTGTCGCAGAAAGATCTCCTCGCAATATCTAGAAGTCCATCCATTCCTGCCTTGACAGCAAAACACTGTTGTGTTCGTGCAACAAATGGAACTCTTGCATGAAGTACATCTTCATCAATCACCTCTCCAATCCTAAAATAAACAAATTGCTCTCAAATGTTAAAATGCTAAAAAATTCCCATGCAAATTAGATTACTGGCTGTAATTAGGAGAGAAAATAATTTCATTATAATAATTCATAGGAAAAGATATTTATATAAACAGGGATCCCTAATCCTAATATAGAATTCCCAATACATGTGTGTGTGTGTGTGTGTATAATCCTACAGGCTGTACATTCCATAACACTCTTCCTCAAACTGGAGTTGGATATTAATCATGCTTAGCTTGTTACAAATATAATCTATCCGAATCCCATTTATAGCCTTTGTGAAAATATCTCCTAGTTCTCCAGTTTTCACTTATCCTGTAGAGATTAAATTTTGCTGCACTTTCTCAC